ACTAGAAAGGCCTTGACAAGAGTAAAGTAGGCTTCACTCTTGCTTCTATATATATTCTCTAACTAGAAGTTATATGATAATATTTTATAAGTCTTCTAATATATATTGACTTTACTAAATATATGACTTAACTTACAACATAAGTTATTTATATATATGCCACATAGTTAACTTATTTGACAAGCTATTAATACATGTGTCATGTGATTAACTTGTTGACCAAGTTTCTAGCCTACTAATTAACTAAAAATATGTATAAAGTCAAAGCAACATTTATGAAGCTTTTAAAAAGCTTTCCTAAAATATATTATAAAATTAATCTATTATTATCTAATTCTACTTAATTATATAGGTAATTATTAGAAAAAATATGTATATTCATGATATTAAGTGTGTAAAGTGAACATGTGATCTTCAAACTAGAATTGATTATACAAATGTAAATAATATCTAATTATCTCGTAATATAAACATAAAAAATATTAAAAATCACTTATATTTATTACTTAATATTTCATTATTTTATCTTATTATTTTTATTAAGTAAAATTAAAATAAATAATTATATTTTACTATTATAATTTATTTTTTCTTTTTTCTTTTTATTTTTTTAATTCTTCTTTCTTTTTAATTTTTTTTAATTGTTGTTAAGTATGTTTTAAGACTTCAAACTATAATTTGAATTCTATTGCATTCTTTTAAATCTATTTTGATTTTTTTAAAAAATATTATTATATATGAGTGTATAAATATATATATATATATATATATATAATATTATGTTGTGTATTTTTTATGAAATTTTTTGATACAAATAAAATAATTTTTATATAAAAATTAAATCTAAGAATTTTTTTTATTATATATATTAATTAAATATATACTTTTAAACATGATAATATTATATTTGTAACATATTTTTATACTATTTTATTAAGCCATCAAATAATTTGCTGTCGTATTACATGAAGTCTTGCTTGAGAACGCATTGGGCACTTGGCTATAGAAAAAAAAAAAAAAAATTACAACAACAAATTCTAACCACTCTAATAAAATCATATATAAATTGCTATAGAAGCTTAATAAATATAATTAAGCATCAATTAAGTCTAATTTTTTTATTTTTGAAATAAATTATAAAATAATTACAGAAAAATCTTAAAAAAACCTAAAGAATCTTAAAAAAGTCCTAAATTAATTCAAAAGAACCTTCAAAAAACCTTAAAAGAAATCTAAAGAATCCTAAAGAAATCCTAAAGAAATCTAAAAGAATCTTCAAAAAATCTTAAAAGAATCCTAAAGAATTCTAAAGAAATTCTAAAGAAATCCTAAAGAAACCTCAAAGAAATCCAAACCATAACCATAACCAAATCCTACTCAATTTTTTAAATGTCAAAAATATTTCTAGCAACCTTACAATAGATTTTGAAATTTAATAACTAATATTTGAATCGTTCATTTCAACTCAATTTTTGTCTATTATTTACTAATTAAATTAAAAATAAACACAAAAAAATTGAAAAGGATCAGAATTATCAAATAGACAATAATCTCAAAAATATGCTTTGGTGTCAGTCAGCCTTCTTCCATGACCTTCATGCCAATCTTCTAGAGCCAATTACTCCTAATTGAACTATTATTTTGCTTTCAAACTTTATATACTTATTAAAAATCAAGCTGACTATCTCTGTAGAAAATATTTTCTTCAATCTAATTGGTAGATTGAAAAATATCTAAAAAAACCTCATTGGTCCTCAAAACCTTGAATTTTGAGACCATAATTCACAAAAACCTTCATGCTTTTTAATCTAATTGTTTGATCAAATCCAAATTCACAATACACATCAAGCACAACTACACCCACAAATCCAAAAAAATTCACTTATAGATCTATTATCAAATTCCTAAAATTGCCCAATACATAACCCTATTTTATTTTCCAAAAACTAGAGTCATTGAAAACAACAACTTTGCCAAGCTCTTATAAAGTTATTATCTATTCAAATTCCTCAAAATTAGTGCCTACAAAAATCCTATCAATTCTTCTTTCAAACCTCACTCTTCAATCAACAAAAGAACCCTTAAATCATTGTTTGGACTTAGTTTTGTGCCTCACGGTCTATTTTTCAATCCAAGTTCATAATTGGCCCTCTCCGGGTATCAATATCTAATTTTTCCAAGGTAGTTTTTGCTAAAACCAACTCCTAACTCTCCCCTACATATGCCTATATCTTTTATTTTTCTAATCTATCTTATTTTGTTTTATTTATGGCATTACAAAGTAAGTAGAAGTCAATTTTTTAAAAAGACAACATTACTATTAAAAGTTTTATTACCTTTCTATCTTTTATCCATATTTTTCTACTTTATCTTTTAACTTGGCTCTTCTGTAATAAGATCCATATTATTATCTTTTGCCATATAGTCATGTTACAATACAACATTGCAAGACATTTGAAATTCTAAAGATGCAATTAGATTAATTTCTATGATTGCATTTGACACCTTTTCTTACATCTGGTTGAGATTGAATAATATTATATATATTGGTGGCAACATAGATATGCTTTGAGTTTTTATAGTATTGTTGATATTATAGTTGGCAAGCATGAGAATTAATATGTGATATATTTAATATTACTCATTGTGAGCTTCAATTTTTGTTACAAAGAGGCTTAGAATTTCATAGTGATATTGCATGAGTAGGTGGCTAATAGCATAAGAAAGAAGGAGTTGGAAATATGTGGGTTGATAGTAGTATAGATGGTGTAGAGGATTTGAGTGGATATTATGGTGGATTGTTTGCATGAGTCTTAGATAAATAGTTTGTTGCGATGGTGGAACATTACATTGTTGTATGGCATGATTTTCTATTTAAAAATACATTAGGTACTTAGCAATAGAGAATTTAGCTTCAATTTATTGGACAACTTATAATAAGTGATGTATTCTTATTATAGAGGCCAAATAAATACAATAGTATCAAAAAATATTCTACTAATAAAACTTTTTTATATTTAAAAAGCTTTATACATAAAGCTTTCTAAAGCATCTAAAAATGTCCTAACATCCTTTGCTATACCAAGTCATAATAAATCATTTGTTGGTAAGCTTGATTTGCAATAAGCTCAAAGAAAATCCATAATCTTCTTACAAAAATCCATCTTTATAGCTTAATTTTGCCATAGCTCCATATCTCCATTTTTAACATGTATATAGAGTCTTGGCTTCCAAATCCCCCTTTACTTTGTACAATATGTCCGAATTATAGAAAAATCCTTTTAAAATATTTTTCTCTTGTAAAAGATTTTTCTCCCTAAACTTGAGAAATTCAAAATGGAGATATGGAGCTATGGCAATTTTATTTCAAGTTCAATTTTGGATTTGCAACCCTTTATCCCTCTTCCTTTAGCCCCTTGGCCTCTTCCCTTTTTCTCAACTTTGAGCTCTCAATTTGTGTGGACAAGCATAGGCAGGCACATTAAAATAAAAATAGAGTTGTCTAAGATCTATTAATGAATTTTTTAAATTACTAAGATTCTAGTCTGAGAGACATCTCATGCTAGCCCAGAATAAGCACATCTGTGATCCAAAATTCACCCATGCACCACAACAATTTCACCAATCAATAACATTCAATGGTCAGTAGCAAGGTTAAATATCTCCGTATTGCCCTTAGATTGCAAGTGCTGACTTCAAATTTTTATGTCTTCTTTATCCCAATTTAAAATTCATCAAGCAATGCATGAAAAGTTTAGCCAAGAAAGTGCTTTCTTCAAACTTAGTTGCCAATCCTTCATTGATTTTTGTACGTATGCATTATATCCAAAAGATTGACAATAGGCATAAAACCAACACTTTAACTTTGATTGCCTATATCTCTTTCGTAAAAACTCCAAATCACTCAAAATTTGTATCAAAATCATAGCCAAAAACGTAAACTTCTCGACTTTAGCCTCCCAAGTTCAAAATGCCTCAAAAGAGTAACTCTAATTCCTAATTAGGCCTCAAGCAGCCTTGTTGAAATCCATTGCGCATGCCTTTTGGCCAATAGCAATAGAAATTTTTATCATTAATCTTCAATCATCCTTATAGATACCTTAACTATACTTTTTGCAACCAAATTCCTTCTCCAACCTTTTTTTTCATAAGATTTACATAATATATGTCTTAAACATGAAATAGAAGAAACAAAACAAGATTTTAAGAGTCACTAATGCCTAATTTAAGTGGTTTTAAATATATAAAAACTATTATCAATATAAAATCAACCTCAATAATAGCCCTTTTAAACTAATCACTTCAAAGTAGTAATCTAATCATATTTTGTAACCAACTAAAATTTAATAACATAGCATGCATTACATTGTTTAGTAAATTATATATTAAATATATATGTGAATTATTTCTATATGGTAGCCAAACCACAACATGACAACATGAAATTAAAAAACTCAAATAACAAGATATTTGAGGTAGACAAGGCAGTGGCATTTGAGTTGTAGGCAGTGAAAAATTTGATCAAAGATATAAGCAAAGATGTCATGATTTCACTTCCAAACATATTGGACATGAAGCAATTATGAAAGAAACTTAAGATACAATTTAAAAGATCACATAAGAGATAAAGCACACAAAGAAATTAATCTATAAATTATACAATATAACTAACATAAATGGTTTTATTATTATGCATATATGTGTATATATATATATATATATACATATATATTCTTTTTGATAAACATTTCTTTAGGAATGATCAATTTTTGGCTTAGCAATTGCAAATTTAACTTTTAGAGCTTTTTTGTGTCAACAACATAGAATTATGGATTATACTAATTACTATATATATATATATATATATAAACACAAATATATATCCTATATAATAATACTAGTAAAAGAGTCTTGTATGTTATATTGTTTCTGAATTTCTTTTAACCATACATCAATAAGAAATTGTGCACACCACAAGACGATTTGTATTACATGCATAAGTCACAAAGCAGGGAGGGAGAGGAGAGAAGTCGAAGCTCTATAACCCTAATTTCTGGAAAAGTCTCCCTGTCGGTCTCGGTTGTGCATTTCATAATCAAAGCCTCATCGACTGTGTTAAGTTACCACCCCTGAGTAACCGATCTTGTGAGTCCGGCAGCATGGGACCTGAAATCACATTGAGAATCCTTCCTTTTTAAAATGAGTCACTGGCTGGCAGCTTCTTTTAAATCTGGCAACTCGGCAAGAAATCCATTGCTGGAAGCTATGCATGGATGCTTTCGTGATGCGATGACCGAGGGATTGGCAGTTTAGAATCCAGTTTTCTCTGTGAAGGATAGGTGATTTTTCCATGCAGTGGAGTTCTTGTCACTCATCAGCGGAGCATGGATCAGTGAAGCTTTTTTAGGGTTGTATCTTTATAACCGATGGGCTTCTTGTAGATCTGACGTGAGGGAAGGTCCTTTCATGGATCATGAATTAATGTCGATGTCGAAGAAACGCCCCATTGTTTGCTAAGATTGTTACGGGTTATTGAAGAGTGAAGGTTCAGCGAGTGTCGGGTTGTGAGCACGATAGTGAGAGTATGTGTGTGGTCGGGCGATATGTATTCTGGTGCAGGTTGATGTGCCCACAGCGAATTTTGTCCATGTGGGTACTGTTTTGAAATTTGGGTGAAGGTAGGTGACAGTAGAATACGTATTTTTTTGCCCTCGCATTTCGGAGAACAGTTCGTGATAATGGTTATGAATTGAGAAACTCTTTGTGAGGTTGATCTGAGTGACTTGACGTGGCACAGTTGGATGCTTGAATGATTTGAACAATGAGTGGACCCTACGGTAATCATCAGAGTAGAAACCTCGTGCAACCCCAACCCCAATCTCTTTCTCAGAATTTTCAACCGCAGAATTATTCTAACACGCAATTTCAGCAGCCGTCGCAAGACTTGCTTCAACGCCAGTACTCTCAAGAATACCAGAACGCCCAACAGCCACAATTGAGTGCACAAGGCCAGCAGACCAATGTGTCCGTACCACAACGCCAATATCCACAGCAAAACTATATGCAGCAAAGTTTGCAGCATTTACATCCTCAGCAGAATGCACCACAACCGTTATCCTATGCACCATTGATACCACCAGCATCGCAGAATATGCCAATGCCAGAGCGAGGATCTCTGATCGCTGCAAGACCGTCACTGCAGAAGGGGCCGCCAAGAGAGTCACAGCAGATGGGAATGCCAAGAGGATCACAGCAGATGGGAATACCAAGAGGTTCACAGCAGATGAGTCTGCCAAGAGGGTCGAAGGGGATGGGTTCTCCAAGAGAGTCACAACTAATGGACGTCCGCAGATCTTCTCGAGACGAGTCGCTGAGCCAGGATCAAAGTCAAACTCGCTCGACATCTCCAGCAGGGTTTGCATCTTGTTCCTTAGCAATACTTTAATCTTTTGAGATGCAACTTAAAGTATGTGGAGGATTAGGTACTTTTGGTTGTGCAGTCTCTCTTGAATTCAACAAACATGAAAATTGATTCACCGATGTCTCCTGCATTTGGGGAAGCAGACTTTGTTTTCCTGATCCAGATATGTGGTTGTCTGCAGGAGGTTCTTTCTATCATCTGTCGGCATTCGAGTGAAGACACTATCTTACGAAGGATTTGCTAGAGTTTATTTTGAGTTTGGTAGATTGGATAAAGATCTTTCGAAGGAACACTTAAACAAGTGTTTGCGATTCACTCCGGTACTTTTAGCTCTCAATATTGTGATTAGACTCAATGAAGTTCAAAGGTGAGAATCATGAATTGCTAAAACGATCCAATCTCAGTAGCATGGTCAAGGCTTACTAAATTGCTAAACGTTTTAACCTTTCCTTCTCGGCATTGTCTGGACGAAATATTGTAACACCTCCTGATCAAGCTCTTGGGTACATTCAGAAAGAGATTAGCCGTCCGTTGCTGAAAGACCTACACGGTGTGAGGACGACATGGGCGGCCGTCACGATCTTTGCACGTAAATTTAGCTTGTAATCTGTCTTTTTAGGATTAGCTGGTCTACACACTCAATTTCTTTCAATGCCTATCTGATGAGGTTTGAAGACCCAAACCCCTGACATCCCTCTTTCAGTACAATTTGCTCAATTCTCTTGTGTCTGCACAGTCCGTCTCATGATCTCTTTTATCTTCGTACACATACGGACTTCTGATTCAATATTTTCTTGGTGATGATGACGAATGAGCAGACATCTTGGCATACATGGAAATCATACGAGGCACTGCTACCAAGTTCAAGCATGCGTATCAGATTCTATCGGCAGGAATTAGTCGGCCGGACCTTCGTGATGAGATATATTGCCAGCTCTGCCGACAGACCAACTACATCATGAATGAGTAACATTCTTATCCTTAATTGTACCTATTAAATGCGAGTTGAGCTGGAATTCTAAGGATAAATTCTTTTGTCTCTTACGAATTTGTGAGACTACAGCTGAATGAATGGATGCTGAAATTTTCTATCTTTGAAAACATCTGTGTCAGGGTCCAAGAAAAAAAGGGATGGGAACTTCTATTGCTCTGTTGCAGCAGCTTTCCACCATCAAAGGATTTTCTGCCAGCTTTGGAGGGTCATTTCCAACAGGTTATATTGCTCAAGGAGAATGTCATATATTAATGAGGCATCCTTTGCATTTGATTGTCCCAGCAAGTTCAACTACAGTTGATTTAGCTTGATGCGTTGAAGAGGCATGCAGGTAGCCATTGGGGCAGTGAAAGGGTTCAAAGGGGATGAGCAGGCCCAGAGATGCCTTGAGCGCTTGCAGCGAGTAGCAAAGTCTGGGTCTCGCTACTTTCTCCCTGCACCTGATGAAATTGAAGCCATTCGGGTCAGTGTCCAACTTTACGTCTTTTGCATCCTTTTTCGTTGCAGCTAATGTATCGTTGACTTTTTTGTCCTATTCCTCAATGCGTCTTCTATAAGTTCAAGTTATTGCTAACTTATGCATCTGTCTGTCAAAAAGTGGTACGTATCTTAATTTTATTTTTTGAATCTAAAACAAGATGTAAATATTAATCAATTCATTTCTGAAATACTAATCTTAACTTTGAAAAAATAAAATTTCCTCTTTCTGCACGTATCTGGAAACAGAGTGAGACACAAATTCCTGTGAATATATATCTACCCGATGGATCTAGTCAGGTATTTCTTTAGTAATCATCGTACTCTGAAATTTTCACATTTTACATCATGTTTTGTGAAGTTCAGTGATATCATGCAACCGAAACATGTCAAGTCACTGAAGAGGGATGACTTTAGAGGTTAGCCTTTAGCGAAATGAAATTTGGTCGAATGCTTTATACGCTGACAAATCTAATTCGTTCAATTACCTTCAAACTTAAACTTGATACCTGGAGTTACAGTCATTAAGTTTTTCGATGTACTGAAGTAATTTACATTTCCCACTTATTTAATAGTCAACGAAAAATTAATTGTCATGAGAGCATCAGATTGCGTAATTATGCAGACTTGAAGACCAATGACTTACGAAATAAGAAAATCAAGGTCTTGCTTAGAAAGACGTTAGTAATTGTGATTGAAGGTACGCTCGATGCACACCATGACATCCTCATCTGAGGTGTCGCACGATATGGCCGAGGAGATTGGACTGCCGGACCCATCTCAGTATGGAATCTTTCAGAGTGGTACAGATGGTGGTATGATATCCCAATGTTTAATCCAGATTTCCATTTCGTTTGCATGTTTTAAAGCTTTTTGAAGAACTTCGAGTTCCGGCAGGTGACAATTTTAGGCCCACGAACAATCATAGCACTTTCTACCCAATTTGCTTATCATTAAGGAAAAATCCGCTGTATTTGCATCTTGCCTTGGCTTTTCAAATTGTTCTCTTTAGAGTCTAGGGTGAGAGATCTTCAAGACACCGCAGGTTTTATTGTTTGTAGGAAACCTGCGGTGTCATTCTGGCTCCTGACCGTTAAGTATTTCTTGATGGCTTGCTGATTTGGAATATTGTGAATGGTTGAGGCAGTTGAGAAGCTTTGTCCCCAGCTTGGGTATATAGTCGACATACAGAATGGTTGGAACATCAATTTAAAACTACAAAGTCTTGAAGACTGGCGCCTGATGTCGAAGATCAAATTTTTCTTTGCTACCAGGGCACCTGTAGATGATGTATTTCTTTAACTTCTTCATCCTACTGCTTTACAGTGCTCAAAATTCAAGGAGCGTTCATTAAAATTGGTAGAGGTGGACATATGACTGTTGATACTGGCGTTGCAGCCCCAAAATTGTAGCGCTAGAGTCTTTGAGTTTCTTTAACAAATGACATGATATAGGCTTGACTTGTTAAAAACCGTTTCCAATGTCGGAATGCGTCTAAATATTTCATATCAACAGGTAGTTTGAACAAGTTAACACTGTTGTGGCTTTTCGAAGGTCGATGAGGCCAACGACTTGTCTAGTATTCCCACCCTGGTAGGCAATAAGAAGGGACGCCTTACGTTAAAGAGAAAGTTGTTTCTCGATGGACCAGTTCCAATTGATCAGACGGTGAAGGATGCGTCAATTCGATTTGATTACTACCAAGTAAACTACTCAAATCTTCAAAACATTCCTTGTATTCGGATAATTCATGAGCGACCATACTCCTGTTGACTGGGTTTTCATGTCCAAACTTGCTAAGCGTTGCACTTAAATTTTTTTCTCATTATTTCAGAATTCACTCGCATGCATCTGGTTTGGGGGCCGTGAAGCTAATTGGTGCATAACAGATTATTGTTTGTTTCGAATCGAGATGCAGGCAGTGCACGAAGTGATGACTGGGGCGTATCTGCTCAAAGCAAGAGATGCGTTGATGTTAGGAGCTTTACAACTGCGGGTAGATCTTGATGAAATGAAGAAATTTACCGAGAAATCGTTAAGGTCGTTTTATCTTCTAAGTAGTTTGGATGTACTTCAATTTTAAACCAAACGAAGCTCTTCTTATTCAACAGATCATTACCAACGTCCAGTATGGGCCTATGCAGAGGAGTAGACATGCACAAATATGAACCGAAAGAGTTCATCGCTGGAAATCGAGAAGAATGGCGGGCTGAGATTTTAAAAGCCTTGCAATCTTTGCCGAAGGAGTCCAACAAGCTTTTGCGCATGTCCGACTATATCGAATATCTGAAAAGCAGATGTCCACTCTACCAGTCGACCTGGATCTTTGTGAAGGTATGTGTCCTTTCCTTAAGCATGCAGAACACTATGTGTAGTCCAGAAGTTGCTAACAACAGAGCTATAACCTTCGACAATGGAGAATCCTGAAACGTCGTCAAAAAGGAAAATTAAATCATTTACCATATTTTTTTTCATTTTATTAATGAATAATTAGAATGCCGTTACATGATGTTCTAATTAGCTATCCGAGGTGTAATTACGGCAAGGAATGCTTTTCCTCTCATTCTTCTTACAAGTGTGGCTAATACGACACCTAGACATCTTGATGCTTCGAAACTAGAATTGATACTTGTTCTCACGAGTTGTGAAATTCTTATAACACAGCAAAAGGGTGATAAAACATTTCCAGAAGAACTGTTTCTGGCTATCAATGCAATGGGTGTCCACTTTGCTGATTCAGTTACCAAGGTCAGGTGCTTAACATTCATTAGAAATGCCATCACTACATCACAAGAGGCAGTCACTTAATAGGAGAATTGCGTCAATGTCTCAATATTTTTACTCTGTCTTTGTTAAGTCCCTTCTTGCAAATAAGCTCTCTTGGCATTTTCTCTTGTGACGAATCATTAAAACTGGACAGTCCCCATGCATGCATACCTGAGATATAATTAGTGCGTCCTTGTGAATTGTTACTTGATTTTCCTTTTGCTTCGCACAGAGAAGAATGGTATCTTTGGAGGAGTTTGATATTTCAGTTTGTGGGCTGTAAAAAGTTTATAATTTTGTAACACTGACTTGACTCTGCAACATGTATGAGAACAGGAATTACTTATGCGGATTCCGTTCACACAAATCTGTAGTTGGGGGCATTCGGTTGCTGTCGCATCCATTGTTACTGGCAACATGTGTGTATCATCTTGCAAATTCTATTTTTAGACGATTGAATGAACTTTAATATTTTCTTCCTACTACGTATCTGCCTACCTTCTGGTTCAATGCAATTAAGTCGCATATACAGACGTTCATCAATGTTCATAGGATATATTGAAATCAGAGAGATTTTGAACAGTCACTGAGAATGGTTTCAGGCCATGCTGCTACAGTTTCTAACTTGCGAAGTTCTTGTTATGCACACAGGATTAACAATCGGGACTACCGTCTCATCACACGCCAGGTATTCTCCCTCCTCCAATAGATCAATATTGGTGTCTAAATGTGAGGGCAACTAGAAAGATTACTGGCTCAAGCATGGCTCAAGCACGATGTGCTGCTTAGGACCAAAAAGTCAGCGCTCTTCTGAGTAACTCCTGTCTTAAACTGTTGGATGTTACTATTCAACTCGATATGACATGAATTAGCAATTAAAAACTTACTTTTTGCATCTTGCTCAGGGTGCAGAGATTGGAGCTATCATAGAACTGTTTATCAGTCGATTGATTTCGTGACGAAAAATTCTTTACCAAGAATAGTTCAGAAACCATTTGTCAAAGATAAACGGCTGTTGCAAAAGTAATTGTTGAGGACTCACAAGTAAAAACTGTCATCGAAAATTTGGGGATTTACAAAGGCTTCACACTCTTAATGAATGCATTGTTGACAGATACACATTCTCATCTCTGAATGTGGAATGAAAATACCATCTCTATTTCATTGAAGATTGTGGGCTTCGAGGCTGGTATTTACATGCATAGCAAGTTGCTATTCAACTTGCCTTATTACGTAACGACTATTGCAGTCATAGGAAGGGGGTGATGTAGCTCGTTATGGTGTTGCTTCGAGTGAAACTGCGGGCGAGTAAATACTGATGGCTACTTAGGTGAATTGGCTAGTCTACTTGATGGAGGTTAGTCCTAGTTGTCATCTTGCTCCTACGGTGATCTTAGGTGGCATTAAGGAGGCTGATGTGTACTTCTTGCCGACTCTATCACTCGCATCAGTCCTTGTGTGCTTTCTTTTCAGGAAGTGTGATGATACTCTCCCTGTTTTGTTTTTCTCTGTCTTTTCCTTAGGATCGATCATGGCGTTGTGTGCTGACGTTAAGAGGTTATCGACTTTGAAATTGCTTCTCCTTGTGTTGTGTGATCTTGTCGAGTTATGTTGTCGTGTAGTTACAAATTCGTTTGAGATTCTTGAGGGGGTATTATTGAGGGTTTTGTTTGCTTCACAATTAATTGATGCACTAAACTTGGCCTTCCTAATTGCTTGATTTGTAAGTTGATTTGGCCAAAGATTAGCTCTCTGGACGACTGTTATCTCCTTCTTCAACTGAGGCGTGCGAGTAAGTGATGGTATGAGGAGATTAGTTTGACTTTGGATTGGTGTGCCGCGGACTTCACAAGGCTCGACACTATCGGGCATGTTTATTATGCTGGAAAGATGGGGCACGACAGAGTGCCTGTGCATGTGAGGTACCGGTAAAATGTGGCAGTCTTTAGAGAGCTTTTGCGAGAGGATTTGGATTCTTTTGTGAAGAATTTTAGGGATGACGAGAGTCTTGATTCCAATGCTGGTGAAATAATACTTGATGATTCTATGCGGAAGTTGTGCATGGAGGAAGATCTGTCGTGGCTGGATGTTCAAAATCTTGGTTCATTTTGGGATTGTATAATCCTATTTTTATTGCCATGTGGTCGAACTTTGTTTGCCCTATGGGTTTAGTGAAGATGCCCGCCTCCTGGATGTCTATGGGTATGAAAACTACTTCGATGTTTCCAACTGCTGTTTTCTCCCCAATAAAATGATGTTGTAATTCTATATGCTTGGTGCGTGAGTGTAGTACTAGGTTTTTGACAAGTTTAAGAGCTCCTAAATTATTGTAGAGGAGTGTCGTTGGTCCTTTCAATGGGATGCCCAAATCTGTAAGCAATCCTCGCGCCCATGTTATTTCTTTTGCAGCCTCTGTGAAAGTACGATATTTAGCTTCTATCGTAGACATTGCAACGGTGGATTGGAGCTTACTTTTCCATAAAATCGGTGCACTTTTAAATTTTAACAATATTCTGGATGTTGATTTTTGCATGTCAGGGTTGTGCACCTAGTCCAAATCAGAGAATGCATGCAGGTCCAGTTTATTGGTGCCTGCGAAAAGAATTCCAAACTTTGTTGTGCCTCAGAGATATCGTAGCACTCTCTTGGCGGCATCCATGTGGGCCAAGAGCAGAGAAGTCATGAATCTGCTCAGTGTGGAATCAAAATAAGGAACGTCGGGACGGGAGTGAATCATGAATATTAAACTACCTACCAGGCTTTGGTATGCATGCCGGTCGGTTGATGGGGAGTCCATCTGCTGCTGAAGCTTGATGTTGTTGTCCATCAGCATGAGTGAGGGGTTGCACGTCTGCATGCCAAACTTATGGAGGAGTTGTTCAGTGCAGTATTCTTGGAAAACGAAGCTTCCCGTCTTGTTATACTGAAATTTGAGTCCTATATAAAGTGATAGTGTTTCAAGTGCGAACATCTTGTATTTTATTTGTGGAGGGGTTTTGAGGCTTCTGAGCTCTACAATTGCGTCACTTTTAAACATTATATCATCCACATACAATATGAGTGTAACATAATGTTTTTTGTAAGTGGTCTTTATGTGCAGGTTGTGGTCATGTTTACTTTGCTTGAGGTCGATATTGTGCCAAAAGCCATCGATATCCAGGTACCACGCTCGGCCGGAGTGTTTCAACTTATAGATTGCCTTCTGCAATCTGTAGACCAAGTATTTATTTCCCGGTTGCATGAAATCTTGTGGTTGTGTCATGAAGACCTCTTCCGTAATGGTGCCATTTAGATATGCGGCCTTGACATCTAAATGCTTAATTTTCCTCCACCATTACTTTGCGCCACCCGGAGTGCTGATTTGCAATCTTGAAGTCTTTAGATTTTGGTGTGGCGATGAAGGAGAAGGCGTAGTCTATAGCCTTGGTTGGTGCTCTCCGTAATTTGGTTAAGGTTCAAGTAGGTGCAGTTGCTTGTTGTTGTCGTGCGCATCCTTATGAAGATTCTCTTGCAGTGGTGGTGGTCACAGGGTCTATGATCTTAACAATGTCAAACACTTACGTGACCTCTGTATTTGTCTCAAGTACGAAACCTCGATTCACTTTGCTTTGTGATGGCTCTTCTCTATTTTGATGTGGCTAATTATGGTGTTCTATCAATTTTGATTTGCTGTGTTCATTTTGAAGTTGCAAAGGGATTATCGTTACTTCGGCTGGTAACATGTGCGTGAAGACAGGTTTGGTGGTTGCCATTTTTGACTCGTTGAATTTTACGTCCTTCGTTATGAAAATCTTATACTTGGTGAAGTGGTAGAGGCGATAGGCCTTTAATGCTTGGTCGTAACCTACCATCATACATATTGTACGTGATTTTAGTTTTGTTTGTTTCGTCCGAAGATGCACGTATGTTGTGCACCCGAATACTCGCAAATGGCCAAGGTCAATGTCCCTTTCTGTGTACTTATAAAGTGGCGGTGTTTCCCCATTTGATTGTATGGGTGTGATGTTTACGAGGTACACTGCGGTGGCGACTGCTCTGGCCAAAGATCGAGAGGGAGCAATGTTTCTATGGCCATGGTTCTGGCTCGATCAAGAATAGTTCTATTCATTTGTTTTGCCACTCCATTTTGGTGTGGAGTATGCGGTGCAGTCAAATGTCGTTTGATCCCAACTTACTCGTAGAATTCCAAAAATTCTTTGGACATGAACTCACCACCCTTATTTTTGCGAAGGATTTTAATTTAATGTTGGCCCTCGCCTTCTATGTAGGCATGAAATCCCTTGAACTTAGTGAAAGTTGAGCTCTTATTTTTCAAGAAGAAAACCCATGTCATCCTTCTGTAATCAGCTATGATGGTAAAGAAGTACCTGGAATTGCTTTGCGAGGTTTGTGAGCACGGACCGCATAGATCTGTATGGAGCAGGTAGTGTTTGTTCAATGCTCGGGTAGTACTCTCCTTTGGTGCGATTGCCTTTGTTGATTTTCCTTGAATGCATTCGTGACAAAACGGCTTAATTAAAGAGATGTACGGTATGCCTTTGACGTGCGTGGCCATTGACAAATTGTAGAAGGTGTGGAAGTTTATGTGCCGGAGTCTTCTATGCAAAAGGATTGTGTTACCTTGCTCGGTCAGATTTGCCTCGAGTTGAGGCGGTGTAAGTTGAGGTGGTGCGGTTGGTTTGCTGAGGACAGACAAGCGGTACAGTCAGGTGGCTGAGTTGCGGACTCCTTCGCTGACTATTGTTGTTGGCTTACTATTTGTCATGATCCAGCAGCCACTTGACGTAAAGATCATCGCGCACCCTCTATCGGTAATTATTCCCACCGAAAGAAGATACTTTTGAACTCCTGTTACATGTAGCAATCTTGAAATTTCTTTCACTAAATTGCCGTATTGAACCATTACTGTTCCTTCTCTTCTTACTTCGTGCGAATTGCCTGCTACTGATTGGATTTCAGAATGTGGCATTAGTTCAGATGGAATGCAAGTTTGACTTGGTGCCGATGACATGGACGGTGGCTCTATTGTCTAAATACCAATATTGGTCGTCATGCTCGAGGTTGAATGCCAGCATTGCTACAATGAAGAACTCTGGTTCAGCCTCTTCTTCCGATTTCTTCTAACCTTGGTGTTGTTTGTTACTTTTCGTTTTTAGATTCGCTTGGACTCCTGTTTGTTTCTACTCGTCTAACTTTTCTTGGTCGGGGACACTCTCTAACATAGTATTCCCACTTGTTGCAATTGTTGCACCTCCCGTTTCGTTGCGGGCTCTTGTACTGATTGTTGCTTAAGAACTCTCCTAATCCATATCTTCAAGGTCGCTCTTCTTGTTCCTGTCTTCTGTAGTTCCTTTAGCTTCTTGGGTGGCGTTTGAAGCTTTGAATCATTAAAGACTCTTCTCGATCGTTTAGTCTTGCTTTTTGTCTTTGTTCTTCATATAAGAGCCTGCTACATAGGTTTTTGAAATTTTGAAGTTGCTCTTGGCCTACGATGTCTTGTATGAAGTCTTCATAGCTCGTGGGGAATATATTAAGCGTTAGATGAACCAACTTGTTGCCTTGAATTTCTTCGCCGACCGTTGCTAATTGAATTGCAGTTTCTTTGATACACCGTATGAACTCCTCAATTGGTGTACCTTCTTGCATTTGTAGTGTGTAGAGAGTGTTTAGTAATTGCATAGTATGTACCGCATTCTGTCCTTCGTACATTGTGGGTAGGATCTTCCACGCATTTGTTGGGTCATTACATTCTGCAATATGATAAATTTCTGCATTCTTCACGGACATGATAATAATCGCCATTGCCTTGTATTTGTCTCGTTCTTCTACGGCTTAGACTTTTGGTGATCTGACGTCAACAATGATCACTTTTTTTTCCTATGTTGGTCCAGTTTGTAGTAGCTGCCAGAGCGCTTCGCGCTGCATCAGCATGCAGATTTGTATCTTCCAAATTGAAAAATTCGAGATGCCCTCTAGATTCATCAACTCTGACATGGTGAAGCTCCCATCCTGGCTCATGTTCTGTTGTGGTAGCCCTCGTCCACAAAAGAAACGTTCTCGCTCTGCTCGTACAGTCTTGGTCAAGAGTTGTTGAACATGATTTGAGCGATTGGCCTTACTCCTCACAATCTATAGTTCTCTCTAGCCATCGAGATCATTTAGTAACTGTCACCGTTTTTCTCATGTGCTACAGCCAACACCATTTTTCTTCTATATCTAACCTTGTGTGCATCCTATACATTATCCAATCTTCACCATCATCACAGTTTCTTGAGAGAGGAAGTGCAACAAGCCAATGGGAATACAGTTTGTTAGATCAGGAAGTTTAAGACTAATCCTAAGACTGAAGGTATTCACATAGAAGTCATTTTCAATCTCTTTCAAGTTGTATCACTAGATTGAAAGTAATTTCTTTGAAACCAGTGATGATCAGGTTCGGGTTAGATCTCAAGAGGATGCCGCTTATAGGATAAGTAAATGCAGGTTTAATTAGTATGAATGACCTGCCACGACAGTAACACTAGGTGATCCACAACCTACACAAATTTACGAGTCAGAGCTTCTGAAGGAGTGGAGCCACGTTTCGTCAGTCTCAATAAGCGGGTTCACTCTTCATTGTAGATCTTATTACCATGGATCACATATCTATAATTTTGCATCTGTTCTGAGAGTTGGGACAATAAGAGAAGAAGCATTTGGCACGAATTCGGGGATTCTTCATATAAGATGAATGGAAGACTGCGTTTCGAACCAGGTATGGACATTTCGAATATAATGTCATGCCCTTTGGACTCACGAATGCACCAGCTGCTTTTCAACATCTCATGAATGATATATTTCGTGAATTCTTAGACAATTTTGTCGTCTGCTATTTAGACGATATCCTGATCTATTCTAAGAATGTCGAAGAACATGAAATACATGTTCGTCAAGTATTACAAAAACTTAGAGATGCAGGATTGTACGCCAAGATGGAAAAGTGTGTATTTCACACTACTCAAGTTGACTTTTTAGGATACATCATTTCAAATGATGGTCTCATGATGGATTCTAAGAAAGTCCAAACAATCATGGATTAGAAGATTCCAAGGACAGTAAGAGATGTCCAATGTTTCTTGGGATTTGCCAATTACTATCGGATCTTCATCAAAGATTTCTCATGATTTGCAGCTCCACTTACACGCTTGACTAGTAGAGATAAATTCCAATGGAATCAAGAAGCGGAAGCAGCATTTGAAGCCTTGAAGACATCGTTTGTCTCTGCACCAGTCTTATATCGTGTTGACTTTTTCAAGGCATTTTTTATGGAAACAAATGCATCAGATTTTGCCTTGGGTGCAGTTTTATCACAAATGGGAACAGATGACAAACTTCATCCGATAGCTTTTCATTCAAGAAAATTCTCAGCAGCCGAGATCAATTATGAGATCCACGATAAAGAACTTCTTGCGATCGTGGATTCCTTTCAAGAATGGCGTCATTATCTAGAAGGCGCTTCTAGACTAGTCACTGTGTATATAGATCACAAGAACCTCGAGTATTTCATGTCAGCACGCGTGTTGAATCGTCGTCAAGCTCGTTGGAGTATGTCTTTGTCAAGATTCGAATTCATTATCACTTATCGGCCAGGAAAACAACAAGATTTGTCCGATGCCCTATCTAGACGTTCTTATTTTGCACCAAAAGAAGGAGATGCAGCTTTTGAGCAACAAAGAACGGTCTTCTTGAAACCGGAGCAATTTCATCTCCGAGCAATGAAATCAACATTGACTGTTGATTCAACTTTTCTCAAGGAAATCCAGTCCAGTATGTCCTCAGACCCTCTTATTTATGATATCGAGAATAATTCTTCCAAGTCTCATGATCCTTCTAAGTTCGAGTTCAAGAATAATCTATTATATTTTGAAGGACGCCTATATATTCCAGAAGGAGAAGCACGTTTACGTGTTCTTCAAGCAAGTCATCACTTTCCAGCAGCAGGGCACTTTGGATATAATAAGACTTTGGAACTCATATCAAGAGATTTTTGGTGGCCACAAATGTGGAAGTCAGTCAAAGACTTTGTACAATCATGTGATATTTGTTCAAGATCAAAAATTCCTCGTCATCGACCTTACGGACTTCTTCAGCCATTACCTATACCAGAACAACCATGGTCTTCTGTTTCTATGGATTTCATCACAGATCTTCCAAGCTCAAGATCTTATGATTCTATATTTGTGATAGTAGATCGTTTCACCAAGATGGCACATTTTGTGCCATGTACAAAATCTATCACAGGTAAAGAAACAGCTAAGCTTTTCATTGATAATATCTATCGCTATCATGGATTACCTAAAGATATTATATCAGATAGGGGAACTCAATTTGTGTCAAGATTCTGGAGGACCCTTTTCAAGATTTTAAAAGTGGACATAAAGCTATCTTCGACTTTCCATCCTCAAACTGATGGACAAACAGAGCACGTAAACCAAGTCTTGGAGCAATATTTAAGGTGTACTATCAACTACCAACAAGATGATTGGACAACCCTTCTGCCATTGGCAGAGTTTGCTTATAATAATACGGTACATTCTTCCATGCAACAAACACCTTTCTTTGCCAATTATGGCTATCATCCACGACTTGATACTTTTGATTTTTCAAAAGTTGATAATCCTGCAGCAGAAGATATGGCAAATCGGTTGTCAGAGTTACATGCAATAATGAAGACGCAATTGAAGGAAGCTCAAGAACGACAAAAGATAAACGCAGATCTATATCGTAAGGAGCAACCACAACTCAACGTGGGTGATAAGGTATGGCTACTTCGTCGCAATATCAAGACTACTCGACCTTGTGACAAGTTGGACTATCGTAGGCTTGGCCCCTTTTCTGTTTCTGAACAGATCAACCCAGTTGCATATCGGTTACATCTACCGGAGTCAATGAAGATCCATCCTGTATTCCACGTGTCTCTTCTTGAATCATATAAGACAGTGGATATACAAAGAAGAAGACAAATGCCACCGCCTCCTATAGAAGTAAATAATAATGAAGAATTTGAGGTGGAAGAGATATTAGACTCAAGGCGGCGCCGAAATAAGCTGAAATATCTTGTTCATTGGCACGGATATGATATTAGTGAACGCACATGGGAGCCATCCAGGAATCTAGCAAATGCATCAGCTAAAGTCAAAGTTTTTCATCAACGACATCCATCAAAACCAAGATGAAAATCTCTCTTATAAAAGAGACAAGATTGAGGCAAGATAACATTCAATTTTCTAGCCTTGTTTGTAACTTCTTTGCATTTGTGACGCTAATTAGATGGAGAGCCAACAACCAGTGGATTCAACTCAAGAACCTTCGTTTGCTGACTTACCGGATGAGACATTGCGATTGTCACAACCTTCAAGACGACGCAACCGAGATGAAGACCCTCAAGAACGACATGTTCTTCCTCGAATAGATGGTGAGATACAACGCATTTGGTATCACGACCTTGGAAGAGATTCTCGATGTTTGGTGATATTACTGGAGATAGGAACGACTGCTGATGGTGTTTCAAATGTATTATTTGAAGGAAGTTATGACGGCCTCAATAATGATCAAATAACAGGGTGGTCTTCTCGCCCTGGAATGGGACACTATCGATGGCTAAGAGGACCCATCAACTACCTTCGAAGAGAACAGAGATCAGAGTATGTAGCAAATACTATTCGCCGCATATTAGACTTTCTCAACATATAATCACCGCTCCTCGTGGAACTCGTCCCTAAAAGGGAGGGTAATGTCACGGATATACATATAATTACCTACAAGAGTCGATAAAAGTATGTAAAAGTAGATAAAAGTAGATTAATCGTACAATATCTTCTAGAGAAGCTTCTTAGAAGCTTCATAGACGTTGCTTTGACCTTAAAGGAGTCCATAGTTGATTTTTAGGTTAGAAACTTGGTCAACAAGTTAGCCATGTGCCATACATGTTGGTAGCTTGAAGGACAAGCTAACTACGTAGTCCACTCATAGAAAACTTGCCTTGCAAGCAAAGACATGTGGCCTAGAAAGTCAACACATATTGGAGGTCTTATAGAATATCGCCACGTGGCTTTTAATTAGATAGTATATATAGAGGCAAGAGTGAAGCTCTCTTCACTCTTGTCAACTCCTTTCTTGCTCCTAGTCCAGGTTCAAGAGTCTTTAGTTTCTTGTCTTGTGGTAATAGCCATTCCAGTTTCCTTTTAATATACTTACTTGTTTATATTTTGACTTATTATATTGAGATAGCCTTTTTGTATATGTTTTCCTTCATCAAGTCTTTGTCCTTGACATGGAGCCATATCTTGAGTTTCTAGATGAACTTTTGGCTCAATTATTTTGAAAGTGTGAATTATTAGGTTAAGAAGCTATAGATCAAAGTTTTATAGTAATTGACTACTTATTTTGTGAGATATGAAGAAAATAGCATATGAGTGTATGTAAGCTACGGTTTAAAGCTATTGATAGGATTTTGGCGATATCTCAAGATTCGTTATGAATTTACAGTTGATTATTTTTTGTGGTAGTTTTTGAAAGTATATCAGTACTTTATGTAAAATTTTAGATTATTTGGATAGTCCGATCATGAGATATGAGCTGTTGAAGTTCACATAACATTTCTCATAAGGATATATAAGGTTTTAAGATATTTTATCATACATTTAGGTATTTTTTTGGGTACTTAGGCTTATGAATTGGTATAATTATCGTAGAAGGGAAAATATTATATATATAAACTTGGTACTTTTATATCTTAGACTTG